CTGTTCATCAAATTGAAGATTTCCTGCCATTCTCTTCTGGCCTGCCAAGTTTCAGTAGATAGGTCTGTCACCACTCTGATAGGTTTCCCTTTGTATGGTAGGGTCCTTTTATCCCTAGCTGCTATCAGAATTCTCTCTTTGTCCTTATATTTTGCCAGTTTCACTATGATATGTCATTTAGAAGATCGATTCAAGTTATGTCTGAGGGGAGTTCTCTGTGCCTCTTGGATTTCAATGTCTGTTTCCTCCCCCAGATTGGGGAAGTTCTCAGCTATAATTTTCAAGTACCCTTTCAGTGCCTTTCCCTCTCTCTTCCTCTTCTGGAATTCCTATGATAGGAATATTGTTCTGTTTGATTGTATAACTCAATTCTCCGACTCTCCTTTCTTGCTCCTGGATCAGTTTCTCTTTCTTTTTCTCAGCTTCCTCTTTTTCTATAATTGTGTTTTCTGAATCACTTTGTCACCTTTCTGCCTCTTCTCATGCATTGGACGCCTCCATTTTATTATGTATCTCATTTATAGTATTTTTAAATTCATCACAACTATTTTTAAGCTCCATAGTCTTTGTAGCAATAGCTTGTTTGATGTCTTCCATGGCTTTTTCAAGCCCAGCGATTTATTTTATGACTATTGTTCTAAATTATTGTTCAGTTTTGTTGCTTATATCTGTTTTGAGCAGTTCTTTAGCTGTCATTTCTTCCTGGTATTTCTTTGGGGGAGATTTCTTCCGTTCCATCATTTTCGTTAGCTTTCTATGTCTTGTTAATTTTAAAAGCTTGTTATGCACTCTGCCCCTTTGAATGCTACTGTGTTAAAGAGGGCTCTTTGACTGTCCATGGCCTGTCTTTTCACGAAGTGTTCTTTGAATGGTGTCTCTTGTTGAGACTTTGGTTATTTTATTTCCCTACTTGTAATGGTATTAGGGACTCTCCACCCTGTGTACTTTGGCTTGTTGCCCTGGAAAGGAAAACAGACAAACAGGGAACAAAGCACACACATGCACAAACAAATTAAACCAGCAAACCAAAAGGAAAATAAGACAAAACAAAAACAAAACAGCAAAAGACAAAGGACAGTCTTAAAGCATAAAACCAGAAGTCCCTTCTACAAATAAAGAGTAGTGTGCTGATGGAGGAGCATATACAAAGAGAGAAATAACAGGGGTGGCAGGGTGGCTCAGTCAGTTAAGCGTCCAACTTTGATTCAGGTCATGATCTCACGGTTCATGGGTTCGAGACCCACATCGGGCTTTGTGCTGACAGCTTGCTCAGAGCCTGAAGCCTGTTTCAGATTCTGTATCTCCCTCTCTCTCTGACCCTCCCCTGCACATGCTGTCTCTCTCTCTCTCTCTCTTTCTCTCAGAAAAAAATAAAACATTAAAAAAAGAGAGAGAGAAATAACAGGGGTTGGGAGAAAGAGAATTAACATTGACCAGGCAGAGAGACTAAAAGGCTTAATTCAGATAAAGAGAAAGGAGAATATGGCAGGAGGTAAGGAGAATAGAAAAGACAAAAAAAAAAAAAAAAAAAAAAAAAAAGATAATGTTACCCAGAGAAACTATAATCTGATTATCTCAGAGAGAGAGAGAAAGGAAGGTAGTGATGGAGATAGAACATGCATCAAGCAAATGGATTATATATGCCTGATTAAGTGAACCTATAACCAGAAAACCGGAGAGAGGGGAGAGAAGGGGAGAGAAATAGATGAGGTAAGGGAGAATATCGAAATAGCAAGCATTGATCTAGAGTCAATCAGGGCAATTCGTCAATGTTGATATTGGGGGAGGGGCTGCTTCCATATCCAGGCTCGAGTAACCAAGCAACTACCTAACGCAGATGGGTGTGGTTTGTTGTAGGCGGATCTTGCCTCCACTATGAGTCCCTCGGGCCCACCTTGGCCCACCTTGGTGGTTGTGGGGGGAAAGATGGCGACGCACCAGTCCTCTCTCAAACCAGGCGTAGCAAAGCACTGTTTTGGGTCAAATCTCACTGTGCCATGGACGCAGCCAAGGTGGGCCGTGTTTTATGTCCTGTGCCCAGTGTCGTTTCCAGATCTTACTTGGTTTGCAATAATAATACCGCCAGGAGTGTAATCTCACAAGCCAGGCACTTCCTACCGGGGGATCGGGGGATTGAGTATGGGACTGGCTCCTGTTGAATCCGACTGCGACTCTGACCTCCTGGCACCGGGCCCAAAGAAATCTCCGCAGCTAGAGGCGGGATTTCTCTCCAAAAGCCCTGCAGCTAGAGATGGGATGATACAATTCCTCTCTGCCCCGGCTGTGCTTTTTTCTCCCTTCCAGGTACCCTTCTAAGACTCCCCAGCCGCTTTTTTCCCTCTTTTTGTCTCTCTGCAGACAGGGCTCCCTCCCCTCTGTGCCTCCGTGCCCTGGCCCGTTTTTGTCTTCTCCAGTTCACAATCACGCACCTATGAGGCTGTCTTTTTAGTGGACTCTGTCTCTTTTCCTCCCAGTCTCTTGCGTTCAGAGGGTTTTTTTGTTTGTTTGTTTGTTTGTTTTGTTTTGTTTTGGGTTTTTTTGTTTTGTTTTTTTTTTTGGCTTCACCCCTTCTTTGTTTGAAAGATGCAGGCAGGAGATAGCGAACTCCCTACATCTCCACCATCTTGCTGCCCCTCTCAGGTCTGTGGATTATTAATGGTTGCCTGATCAAACTCTACACAAACGAGAGCTTTGCTTTTCTTTCTCCAATCTAGTCAAGAGATAGGATTCACTGGCTTCTCTTTTCAAAGCATTCTGGTCACGAGGTTCTTTTTAGGATAAGATTTCTATTTCCTGTGAGATATGTAAGACACAGATTTTTATTCTCATTTTATTAGGTGGGAAGCTAAATCTTGGAAAAATTAAAATGAGTTTTCCTAGGATTTTTCATAGTTAATAAGTAATTAAAATCCGAATCTTGATTTATTGTCTAATATGCTTAGCCTCTTAGCATTTTCTGTTTTTCAGTCATAAGGCATGGTTCTCTGAATTTAGTTTGATATTTATCCCAGGAAGTTAGTCATTTGATTGGAATTCTTCTTACTCATTGATTGTAGGTCATACTGCTGACAATTTAGATGGAGAATAGATTAGCTTATTTAACCTATGTAAATACAGTTTTGGGCCTTGCAGTTTTACAGCTGTTGTTGGTTAACATACTAGGAAGAAAATAAAATTTATGGGTTAAGCAATTAACTTTATTGGATGGCATGAACAATCCTAATGTTATACCCCCAGATCACAGTATCCTCAACGACCAGAGACCACCGGGGAGACCGAGTCACGCATGCAAAGGCAAAGGGCTTTATTACGGGCTCGAGCTCGGTCTCTCAGACTTTACCATTGCAGTGGATCCTTGCTGTGAGTCTTGAACAAAGGTAGAGTAGGGTTTTTATTTGGTTTGTGACAGGGGAGTTACAGAAGTTGTGACGCAAGAACAGTGATCCAGTCATACAGCATTATTGACAGCGGGTTTAACCATACATTGTTATCCAGAGTATCTGTTACTTTTGGCAGGATCCAATTACAACATTTAGGGTACCCTTAAATTCAACCAACCATTGAGTTAGCCTTGAGTCTTGTTCGGTTACTAATTGGTTAACTTTTACATTAGGCAGCTGAGATTTATCTATAGTTGCTGGCCTTTCTTGATTGGGCGTTGCCAAGGTAGTGTGGTGGAGTGAAATGGTGGGCAGTTTCTTCGGCCTTGGGCAATGTGTAGCTGCCTGATAGTTTCGGGGAAGCTGAAACTTAGGCCTTCTAGTTTAGAGGGGAAACGTAAGGCCTGTCATGGAGTTTGTATGGTTTGGACTTGTGTCCTTACACTAATAAAGGTAGTATAACTAATGTCTTAATCATGATGGTGCTGAGTTCTTTGGTCATATATCTTTATAACATCTGCTAATGGGTATATGTTGGTAGTGTTGATTCTAAGACATGTTTATTAAAAAATTAAGTGTAATAAATTGATTTTTCTAGTACAATTTTTACTTGAAATAGTGGTAAAACTCCTCTGTTTTTTATACCAAACATGGTAAAGGGGTTTTTATTTCATAGCAGCTTTTTCCCCCTAATAGTTTCATAATTTTTGCTTTTATAGCCAGATGCTATAAATTTTTGCCATAGATTTTAGTGTGACCGTTTCTTAAGTGAAAGGGAATAATTTTTGTGATTCAGAAATGTGATTTCACTGAAAGCAAACTATTTTTATTATGCCTTTGAATTGTATAATCTTCAAGCAGAATTTTTGGTATTAATCTTATTATGCCTGTCATGCTCTTGCCTTTGAACTGACTTTGTCATTGTTTACAGAGAGGCACGAGCAGCTTCCAGGAATGGAGGTAGTGATTTAAAATATTAAATTTGTATATTTAAAGACCTTTCAAATTTCAAAATTTACAGCAGTTTTGAGTCCATTTTATGCTGAATATTAAGACCTTTTTTTAAATGTAATCACTCCTCATTGTCTTGTTAATATAGCCTTTTCCTTAAAAACAATGGGAAGTGTTAAATTTGTTACATTGCAAATTTGCCAAAGAGAAAAAGTTTCAAGAGTTGCTTTTTTTAAAAGTAATCCAGGAATATTGCCAAAGTCTAATTTTAATTCCATTTCCTCTTGTAGTACTTAGATTTTTATTGTTATGCTTCTAGTCTTACTAGTCAGAATGATTGGAGACTATAATATTGCCTAAATAATGAGAATATTTGGTAGGAAAGCTGCTTGACAGGTATTCTTTGACATAAATTTTGTTGTCACTTTATTGCTGGTAATTTCAGAAGATTATTTTTGAATATCAGAAAAAGTTATGTAAACATGAAATTCTATTGTTTTGCTTTCTAATATCATCCAAGAGTATGTAATAAGTATAGGGAGGAAATATTTTTAGACTTGTAATTCCTTAAAGCCTTTGTAATAAGACAGACATCTCCTTTAGGTTTAGAGATAAATAGTAGAAAGCTTCCCACAAACTGTTAAAATAAAGATTGTGCCCTTCTTGTAGGTGGCCCCAGAAGAATTTAAGACCAGCATTGGCCGTGTGAATGCATGTTTGAAAAAGGCTCTCCCAGTCAATGTGAAATGGCTGCTCTGTGGTTGTCTCTGCTGCTGTTGCACACTGGGTTGCAGCCTGTGGCCCGTAATTTGTCTCAACAAAAGAGTGAGTAACCATTTTATTGTGTAACCATAAGAGCTAACATTTATTGAACAGTTGTATATGCCAACTACTTTACATGATTTTTTAAATTCTCATAACAAGGCTATCCTCATTTGAGAGGCAGACCTGGGGACAGAGAGCTAAAGTCATGTGCCCAGCCTTTATTAACACTTTGTTAGTTAATATGAGTTCCCACTGTTTAAAATAAGTGAAATATAAATGGAGTACAGGAGTAAATACAAATGTAACTAGGCTACTTACTCCTTTTACAAAACCCAAAGCTGTGATTTAAACTGTTTCTAAGCTACAAATATGAGAGTGTGTCTTCTGATCTAAGGAAAAACAAAAGTGAGAGTCACCCTACAGAGTTGGGGGGAGATCCTGCTTCGTTTTAAACATGTTGAAAGAATATTATAAGACATTACTAGTTACGTCATAGACTTAAGACTAATATCTTAATTTCATCTTCTTTAGAACTTTATTTTTGTCTTCAGAATGCTTTTATTTTCATTGGAAAGAAGGAAGCTACCATGTACCACATTGATGACTTCATTTAAACTTTTAAATAGTAACTAGCCTACTGAACCATCTTCACAATTACAGTATCTTGTACAGCTTTAATTAATGGTACAGTTGTTTCATAAAGGCCAAAAATATTACCAGTTATTTATTCCTCTCCATTCTTTCTCCTGCCCTTTTTAATGTGTACTTCAAAAAGGAAAATAATGAAACACTGCCATCCCTATGACTTTTTGAATGGAAAAGTTAAACATTTTGTTGATTCTTAAGTACCAGTAGCTCAGAGCTTAACTTTAAGATTAGTTTATCATGTTTAAACGTGTATTCTGTATTTTCAAATGGCTTTCTAGAAGAGAAAAGAATTGACAGCATAAATTTACTTCATCGTCATATCTTTTAACAACTACAAAATAGTGATTCCTATCCATTCCCCTTATTTTAAAGCCTCAGTGTGAATTAATTATGATTTAGATTTTCTATCACACAAATACAGCTAATTTTAATTACTTAAGAACAGATTTTTTTGGTTTTAATATTCTCCAGGATCTATCTTTTTTATTGATGACCTGTTTGCTCTTGGCCTGTTTATTGTTACTTTCACTGCAGGTCCTGAAATAGAAGCAATTTTTTTGGTCATGTGCCTTTACTATGAGAACTTGTGATAGAATATTCATTGGAAAGTGAGATTAATACTGACCCTCTGATTTCACCCTAGCCCCCATTACTTTGGTTAATTAATTATTCATATTGAAGTTGAGGTATCAGTGCACAGATCTTCCTCAACTTACAATGGGGTTATGTCCAGATAAATTCATCAGAAGTTGAAAATATAAGTTGAAAATGCATTTAATACACATAACCTACTAACCGTCTTAGATTAATCTAGCCTACCTTAAATGTGTTTATAGAATTTACATTAGCCTGTGGTTGGGCAAAATTATCTAACGCAAAGTGTATTTTATAATGAAGTGTTAAATAGCTCATGTAATTTATTGAATACTGCACTGAAAATGAGAAACAGAATGGTTGCTTGGCTACAGAATGATGGTAAGGGTATCAATTGTTTATCCTTGTGATGGCATGGCTGACTGGGAGCTGTGGTTTGTTGCCACTGTCCAGCATCACAAGAGAGTATCATACTGCATATTACTAGCCCAGGAAAAGATCAAAATTCAAAATTCGAAGTATGGTTTATACTGAATGTGTACAGCTTTCACACCTTCAGGAAGTTGAAACATCATAAGTAGAACCATTATTGGTCAGGGACCATCTGTATTCTTAGATCACCAATCTGTCAATTTAAAAACATTTATTTAGTACAGATTTTCAGACTGTCATCCTGTGGGCCAAATCTGGACCATTCTATTTTTTAAATATTTGAATCAATTGCCAACATTTAAAAATTGGAATATTTAGGGGCACCTGGGTGGCTCAGTTGGTTAAGCGTCTGACTTCAATTCAGGTCATGATCTCACGGAGTTTGTGAGTTCGTGAGTTCGAGCCCTGCATCAGGTTCTGTGCTGACAGCTCAGAGCCTGGAGCCTGCTTCAGAGTCTGTGTCTGTGTCTCTCTGCCCTTCCCCCACTGGTGTGCTCTCATTCTCTCTCCCTCTCTCTCTCCCTCTCTTTCTCTCTCTCTCTCTCTCTCTCACACACACACACACACACACAAATAATCATTAAAAAATTAAAATAAATTTGAGAGAGCTAGCCTCTTTTTTTAAAATCTAAAGATCTGGCCATATTGGACCCACATACCTGTATTTCAGCAGTTGGCCCTAGGTGAGTGGTGGTTTCTGCCTTTAAATAGGGCATGAGGTCTCTGATTCACCACAGAACCACAACTTAGCATTTACATTATCTGTCTTGCTCTCTACACTTTATAGTTATGGCCCTTGATTTTGTACATGCTGTGTTGTTAACACATAGAGAAAACACTAAGCACATGTTGGTAACCTTGTGAAAGATATTGCCCTTTCTAGGACCTCAGTTTACTTACCTGTAAAATTGGGAAAATATTATTTACTTTTAAGATGGTGTGATGATAAAGAAATTTAAGGTGCCTCACTGTTTTTTTGTCCATGGAGAGAAATTTTTAGAAATTAAATACAATAATTTAAGAACTTTTATGCCTTCATTCCTGATTCCTAATCTGTAAACTAAGTTGTACAGACTCTAGTAGTTTAATTGGAAAGATGATTAGCATTCATTTGCCCAGATCCCTTATTTTACAGGTGTGGAAGTAGATCCAGAAAGATGAAGTGACTTTCTCAGTGTCACATAGTAAATGGCACACCCAGAAAAATATTTTTTTTCTATTTTGTTTGGTTTCTGTCTCTTGTAAGACTGTATTTTCTTGACTACAGCATGTTTCCTAGGTCATATTCTCTATTGCTGGGACAAGAAACATTAGGATAAGAGGTATAATAAAAAGACTGCTGAGTTTTATTTTTCTACCAGGGGTTGGCAAACATTTTCTTAAAGGACCAAATAGTAAGTATTTTAGGTTTTATGGGCCAGAGTCTCTGTTGCGACTACCCAGCTCTCCAGTTTGTATATGAAAGCAGCTATAAGCAATATGTAAATGAGTGAGCGTTGCTGTATTCCAGTAAAACTTTATTTACAAAAACTGGCAGCAGACCAGATTTTACCTATGGGCTACAGTTTGCCATCCTACTCTAGCCAACTCTAATGGGGTATCTAGGTTTATAAAAGTCATGCCTGTGTTTATCCATAAAATAAAATGGAAATAATGTAGTTATACTGCTCTATGTCACAAGGTTGCTATGTAAACTGATTGTAAAATGTTTCCAAGAAAGGGGCCGCCTGGGTGGCTCAGTTCGTTTAGTGTCCAAGTCTTGATTTCAGCTCAGGTCATGATCTTACTGCTTTGTGAGTTTGAGCCCTACATCAGGCTCTGTGCTCATTGTGCAGAGCGTGCTTGAGATTCTTCCCCTCTCTCTGCCCCTCACCTGCTCCCACCCTCTCTGTCTCTCTCTCTCTCTCAAAAAAATAAATAAACTTTAAAAATGTTTCCAAGAGAAGAACTTTGTAAACTGTCTACCTTAATGAACATTTTTTTAGCCAGTATACTTCATGGATATATTTTCTAGCAAATTAGGTGAAAAAGAAATACAGATCAGGGTGTCCTGAGTTCCTCCTAGCCACTCTTGGCTCTAATAGGATTCTATGACTGCATTGTATATGCATATGTATATTTCATTTACCCATTCTTACACTTAGCACTGAAACAACTGTGATATAATCAATAGGCCTATTCATGCCACCATTTTTAAATTTGAAATTACTTTTTAACTGTTACCTTTTTTTTTTTTTTTTTGCTATAATATTTGCTAAATTGAAAGTGTTGTTCAGAGGAAAGGGACTGTTCTCCCAGCCTTGCAACGTGAATATAATGTTGTTTTCCTTCTCCTACAATTTCTAGTTTTGTACATTATATGACTTCACTCTTTTTAAATTTATTAAGACTTGTTTAGTGGCATAATATATGGCCTATTCTGGAGAATACTCCATATACACCTGAGAAGAATTTGTATTATATTGTTGTGAAACACAGTGTTCCATATATATCTGTTAGGTATTGTTGGTTGATAGTGTTGTCCAAGCCCTATATTTCTTTATTGAAATTTATATGTTGAAGCCCTCCCCCCTAATCTGATGATATTTGGAGGTGGATGGTACATTAGTCTTTGAGACGTGATTAGGTTTAGATTGAGTCATGAGGGTGGGATCCTTATGGTGAAATTAGTGTCCTTATAAGAAAAGACCAGAGCTTGCACTTTCTCTACCATGTGAGGTAACAGCAATAAGGCAGCTGTCTGCAAGCCAGTAGCCAACGAAGCTAAGGAACTCAACAAACTGTGCTAGTTCTCTGATCTAAGATTTCCCATCCATTAGAATTGTGAGAAATAGATTTCTGCTGTTTAAGCCATTGAGTCTATGGTATTTTGTTATGGCAGCCTGAGCATATTAAAACATATACTGTCCATCTTTTTCTCTTGTAACATTTTTTTAACTTAAAATCTATTTTGTCTTATATTATTATAGCCATCCCAGCTCTTGTTGTTGTTGTTGTTACTGTTTACATGGAATAGCTTTTTCTATCCTGTCACTTTCAAATTATTTTGGTCTTTGAATATAAATGGATTCTTATGTAGACAGGATATAGACGGATTATGTTTTTAAATTCCTTCTGCAAATCTTTGCCTTTTAGTTGAGAGTTCAGTCTATTTATGTTTAAAGTAATTAATGGTAGTGTATTAGTTTGCTAGGACTACCTTAATAAATAGCACAGACTAGGTGGCTTAGATAACAAATTTATTTTATGACAGCTCTGGAGGCTGGAAGTCTGAGATCAAGTTGTTGGGAGAGGGTTTTTTTTTTTCTTTTCCCTGAAGTATCTCTCCTTGGTTTGTAGATGGCCGTTTTCTCTTTGAGTTTTCATCTGCTCTTCCCTCTAAACAT